ACCTCGGCCTCCCAAAGTGCTGGGATTACAGGCTTGAGCCACTGCACCCAGCCCTATTCAACATTCTTAAAGAAAAAAACTTTCAACCTAGAATTTCATATCCACCCAAACTTAGCTTCATAAGTGGAGAAATAAAATCCTTTACAAACAAGCAATTGCTAAGAGATTTCGTCACCACCAGGCCTGCCTTATAAGAGCTCCTGAAAAAAGCACTAAACATAGAAAGGAACAGTCAGTGCCAGCCACTCCAAAAACATACCGAATGGTAAAGACCAGCGACACAATGAAAAACTGCATCAACTATTGGACAAAACAACCAGGTAGCATCAAAATGGCAGGATCAAATTCACACATAAAAATATTAACCTTAAATGTAAATGGGCTAAATGCCCTGAACAGAAGACACAGACTGGCAAATTGGATAAAAAATCAAAACCCATTGGTGTGCTGTATCCAGGAAACCCATCTCATGTGCAAGGATACACATAGGCTCAAAATAAAGGCATGGAGGAAGATTTGCCAAGCAAATGGAGAGAGAAAAAAAAGCAGGGGTTGCAATCCAAATCTCTGATAAAATAGACTTTAAACCAACAAAGATCAAAAGAGACAAAGAAGGGCATTACATAATGGTAAAAGGATCAATGCAACAAGAAGAGCTAGAGATCCTAAATATATATGCACCCAATACAGGAACACCGAGGTACATAAAGCAAGTTCTTAACGACCTACATAGAGACTTAGACTCCCACACAAGAATAGTGGGAGATGTTAACACTCCACTGTCAATATTAGACAGGTCAACAAGACAGAAAATTAACAAGGATATCCAGGACTTGCACTCACATCTGGACCAAGCAAACCTAACAGACATGTACAGAGCTCTCCACACCAAATTTACAGAATATACATTCTACTCAGCACCACATCACATCTACTCTAAAATTGATCACATAATTGGAAGTAAATCACTCCTTGGCAAATACAAAAGAACGGAAATTATAACAAATAGTCTCTCAGACCACAGTGCAATCAAATTAGAACTCAGGATTAAGAAACTAACTCAGAACCTCATAACTTCATGGAAACTGAACAACTGGCTCTTGAATGTTGACTGGACAAACAATGAAATGAAGGCAGAAATAAAGATGTTCTTTGAAACCAACAAGAACAAAGACACAATGTACCAGAATCTCTGGGACACATTTAAAGCAGTATCTAGAGAAAAATTTATAGCAATAAATGCCCACATGAGAAGCAAGGAAAGATCTAAAATCAACACCCAATCATCAAAATTGAAAGAGCTAGAGGGGCAAGATAAAAAAAAAAACTCAAAAGCTAGCAGAAAACAAGAAATAACTAAGATCAGAGCAGAGCCGAAGGAGACAGAGACACAAAAATCCCTTCAAAAAATTAATAAATCCTGGATCTGGTTTTTTGAAAAGATCCATAAAATATACCACTAGCCAGATTAAGAAAAGAGAGAAGAATCAAATAAATGGAATAAAAAACATTAAAGGGGATATCACCACAGATTCCACAGAAATACAAACTACCATCAGAGATTACTACAAACAACTCTATGCACATAAACCAGAAAACCTGGAAGAAATGGATGAATTCCTGGACACTTGCACCCTCCCAAGCCTAAACCAGGAAGCAGTCAAAACCCTGAATAGACCAATAACAAGGGCTCAAATTGAGGCAGCAATTAAGAGTCTATCAACCAAAAAAAGCCCAGGTCCAGATGGGTTCACAGCCTAATTCTACCAGACATACAAAGAGGAGCTGGTACCACTTCTTCTGAAACTATTCCAAACAATGCAAAAAGAGGGAATCCTTCCCAAATCATTTTATGAGACCAACATCATCCTGATACCAAAACCCAGCAGAGGAGACTCAACAGAAAAAGAAAACTTCAGGCCAATATCCATGATAAACATAAACACAAAAATCTTCCATAAAATACTGGCAAACCGATTGCCACAGCATAACTCAAATGTCCATCAACAGCAGAATGGAAAAAATATATTGTGGTATAATCATATATTATTAGAATGGTATGTAACAATGAGAATGAATGAACCACAATATGAAGATGTAATTAATTTCTTGCACATAATGCTGAGCAAATGAAGACAGGTTTTAAAAAGTTACATTTTGTATGATTCCATTTATATGAAGTTCGGAATTAAGCAAAACCATCTTAGATGATAGAAGTAAGAACAGAGGTTTCTTTTGGAAGGGTGAGATATGACAGGCAGTGGGCTTGCAGGCATTTCTGAGGATGCTGTTAATATTCTATTTCTTGATCTGGGTAATGGTTACAGGGATCTTGTCACTTTGCTAAAATTTATCAGATTGTGCACTTATTATTTATATTCGTTCCTGTATAAATGGCATACTCAAATAAAAACTTCTAAAAATGAAATTAAACACAGACACCTACATTGCTTTCCATTTTCCTGCTGCAAGGAGAAGCAAATTCTGCTGACGTTGCTGCTTTCGGTTTCGTTTCTAAACTGGGAGCATTTGAGGAAATCTGGCCAGGAGTAATTCACCATCCCCAGGACCGATTCACAGCCTTCTTTTGCGGCCTCACAGAAGGACCTACAGGGCAGGAGTCCATGACTGAAAAAAAAAAAAAGAGAGAAAGGTGAAAAATTAATGTATACAGAACAGTTTTTGAAATAATAGTGAAATTAAAGTTAATTTATACTTACTATAGTCAGCAACTTAAATTTTTACATTCAGTCCAATGACAATGATTTTAGCTACTCTATTGTCTTGATTCTAGAAGAAATAGCTAATTCTACATCATCTAACTATTTCTTGTAGGTGTATTCATCACAATTTTTTTAAATATTTACTGAGCTAAAATATAGTCATCAGCCTAAAACAGCTTGATTAATATCAAAGGGGAAAATTAACATGGAAATGAAGGCCTTCAAATTGCAAAGGCAGAAGTAGGTCAAAAACAAGTTCTTGTATTTTTATCTTTCCTTTGAGAAATTCAAGTATCTCTGAAAGGCAGCAGAGAGTAAGCTGTTCCATTATTAACTTCCCCAGCCTCCCTGGAAAAGGAACATAATGCAGGTGAGTGGCAACTTGGAAGACCTTGTGCAGTTATTTATCTTTTCAGATGTCATCTGCAAAATAAAAAAATGCAAGTAATTGTCTGTTAATAGTAGCCCCTGGAGCTTATCTTTATTCACTTACATGACATGAAACAGTCCTAGATCCACACCTCTGTGGATGGAGATGGGATACTAACAAAGTCAAGGCCATGGACTTGCTTCCTTGCAGACTCAGGTAACTTTCTACGCTACAGCTATAGGCTGCGTCTCTCACCCTGGCTGGTCAACTGGTAAAGGAATTTCAAATAGTTTTAAGGAAGCTGGGAAAGAAAATATACATGTCAGTTAAATCAAAGTATGTACTTCACAAATGTAGAGTCAACAAGGTATCACAGAATTGTGCAGTATTCGATATGTAACAAACTTTAAACAGTACCTTAAACAATCCATCACATGAAATAGTTCCAGGGAGATTCTAGATGGATTTGAGGTCAAACAGCTCCCAATGGCAGAAGCAGGAATAGAATTTTGGTGCTTTAAGTTTCAGGACACATTTTACCTACTCTCCCTAGCTCTTTTCTTATAAGGACCTGATCATTGGGCTTTCAAAACTCCTTGATCAGATAAGCACATTTATAATACCCCATTCATATTTCTACAGATTACAAAAACATAGAGGGATATGCCAGCCATTGAGATCAAATGGAACAAACAGGGTCTGTAAAATAACCTTGGGGGAGAGATCTTTGTACATAAAAATGAAAAGGGAACCTCAGCCATTACATTCAGAAAAAAATATTTTACCTTCATCTCAGAAAGTCACCTTAAAACTGAGTATCCTTTAGAATACTGATATTCTTATAATTATCTACATACATTTATATGTAACCAAATTCAATAATGAAGATGTTGAAGAAGAGGTTTTGTATTTGAAGGAATTAGCTTCAGCATATAAAATGTGAATTTGTTCAGTGAAGTTACTTGGTATAAAGAAGACACCTGAAATATATTAGATATTTCTAAGACTGAGAAAGGATCACTTAAATAACACTTTTTAAATATTTCCTGCCTGTCCTGAATCTTATCCCAGAGAAGTTAGCAAATATATTTTCTCAGTTAAAACTAGGATACACAATTAAGGAATGTGGAGTATATAAAATTACTTATTCTTTGCCAGACATCGTTCTTAGTGCCACACACACATCATCTCATTGATTTCTCAGAACAGGATGAGTAATAGGTGTTATTACTCATCCCCAATACACAAATAAGGAAAATGAAGCACAGAAAAATAAGGCATTTGTCCAAGTTCACTGAGGGAATGAGTGTCAGAGTTAGGATTAGAACTCGGGCAGATTGGCCCAGGACCTATTCTATCTACTGTATTACAGGTAAGTCCTAATTTCATGAATGCATGTCTTGAAAGCACAACACAATTTTTTTTTTTAAATGGAGCCTGGCTTTGTCACCCTGGCTGGATTACAGTGGCACCTGCAAGCTCCACCTCCTGGTTTCAAGTGATTCTCCTGCCTCAGCCTCCCGAGTAGCTGAGATTACAATGTGTGGCCTCGTCCAGCTAATTTTGTATTTTAAGTAGAGATGGGGTTTCAACATGTTGGTCATGATGGTCTCGAACTTCTGACCTCAAGTGATCGCCTGCCTTGGCCTCCCAAAGTGCCAGGATAACAGGCATAAGCCTCTGCACCCAGCAGAGAGTGCAAATCTTGATATGCACTTTCTGAGTGGCACCATCATATACATGATGCGTGAGATTTCCCTTCATTCTACAAAAACCTAGTAAATGTGCATTGAATCAGTATTTGTCAAAGGGGCTAAGGGACACAAAGAAAGGGTAAAGACATTTCTGCTTTCTTCTGTAGGTGCCAGCCAGCCCACAGTAAAGCTGTAAAACAAGCTAGGCTTGTCTGGTGTTCCTCCTTTGCCTCCCAGTCCTTGGCCAGGATCCCAGTGTCCCAATGCCATCCTGATCACCCTGATGCCAGCACCCCACCCAGATGGCCACCTCTACCAGAGTGCTTGAAACATATTATTCCCTTTCTACAATCAAAACTGCCCTCCTAATTGCAGCTGATTTCAATTAGGCTTTCAAATAAGAAAATGGATGAAAAAATACAGAGTAATACATAAGTACAGATGAACACTTAACCCTCCCCGAGACTTTTGCATCATTAGAAGAAGACTGCTCACTGGGGCAAAGGAATCTCTAACTGATGAAATTCCAGATATTATTTAAAGGGTAAAAAAATCATTCAACATTTTTTTGAAGATGAGAAAAATGTCTGCAAAACTGAATAACACTCTGGAGCACAACTCTCCCAAGTGGTTCCTGGAGCTTTCTTCATTTCTGAAAGTAATTTTTTTTAATCATTCCATATCTTTTCTTAGAATCTTTTAGGGTAACAAAAATGAAGTTTCATGCAGGAGGCCAGCACACTGTTCTCAAGTTCTAAAGTTAAGTCTTTAATTCAGAAATGGACTCACTGTCATTGACTCTTATGGTGGTCATTTATTCTGCAGGAATGCCTCAGTCTATCACCTGCAGCTTTCACATGGCCACTCCTCCACTGTTTGAGCTTGGGCCAACAGTCCACTCATGCCAAGACTCAGTTTCCTCACTTGAAAAATGAGGGTTTTGGAAGAGCTGGAGTGCGGACCATTTTTCATAGTCCTTTTACTACTAACATTCTGGGTCAAAATTCATTCTTTAAGGCAGTGTTTCTCAGAGGAGCACTGATAATCCCACCAGCTTTGCTAAATTTCAAAAGGTAACAGGCATTTTTCTCAAGATTTGTTCTGGGAATATATAGAGACATTAAAATACCATTAGGCTCTCCATTCTAAAAATAGGGCCTAAGAAAAATGTCTACAGTGTTTCCAAATATTTCTCTTAAGAGGTATAACCAACTGCGACCCATAAGCTTTAAATTGCTGAACCAGGATATGTGAAATAGTGACAGAGTATTAATAAATAGCAGCACTTTCAAACAGTGAGCAATATGAGGAGTAATTTGTTCTTGCATTGCATAAAATTCAACTGTCTATGGAAGGTTGAAGCATTTTGCTTTTCATCACATGGAACACAGTGGTGAGATAGGCCACACTATTTTGGAATATGTGTCTATATCCAGGCAACAGACTAATGACCTTAAAACAGTGGTCTGCACAGGGAAGGAGTCCACTTTGGCTATCTAAAAACTATTTTAAAACTGTGATTATTTTAAACTGATGTCTGAAGTAAATTTGGTGTTATGCAAAAGTCCCTAGTACATTTCAATTAAAGTTAAAGCAGAGAGCTTTTATTCTACCTCTATTACTATTTGTTGAAACACTTGATAATTGTATGAATAATACACTATATAGTGATAGTGAAGTTTTTATGGTGTTTTCACTAGGAAGGGTGTTCTAAAATGATTTATCTACCAAAAATTGTAGAGTTTATCTATAAAAATTTAGAGAATTTATCTTCCAATAATTGTGTTACAATGCACATAACAAAACTACTGTATAGATTTTATCTGCAAAAAAACAAGTTCTGATAAGAACATAAAGTTTAAATTTTTAAATAAGTCATAGCTACAAAGCAGGCTTATATGGTTAATGGATTTTTAAGTTTTATAAATCTCTTTTCTCTTAACTTTTTATTTTGAACTACTGTTAGACTTACAGAAAAATTATAAATATAGTACAGAAAATTTCCATATATCCTTGATCCAGAGTCCCCTAAGGTAAACATCTTATATAACCATAGTATGATTATTAGAACCAGGAAATTCGCATTGATACCATACCTTTAACTAGACTAAGGACCTTATTTGAATTTTGTCAGGATCTCCATTTAGGATCCTACATTGCATTTAATTGTCACTTTTTACTTTTGGCAAATAAACTAATCTTTAAATATATTAGGAGAACTCAGAATTTAAAACTCTTTTTTCTGGAAAAAAAAAAAAAAACAGAATCTTTGTGACAGGTGGATTTTAAGATGCCCCCCAATGATCTCTGCTTCCTGGTATTCATGCCCTGTATAATTCCCTCGTTTGGAGTGTGAGTTGCCTGACTGATTTGCTCCCAACCAATAGAAGGTAATGGCATGCCAATTTCGTCATTAGTCTACATATGATTGTGACTTCTATCTTGCTAAGAGACTCTCTCCCTTATTGGCTTTGTCATATTGAGGAGACCCACATGGCAAGGACCTGAAGGTGGCCTCTGGCTGATAGCCACCTAGGAACTAAGGCCCTCCAACCAAAGCCTTTAAGGAAATGAAGTTCTTCCAACAATCACATGAACTTGGAAGTTGATCCTTCCCAAGTCAAGCCTTCAGATAAGACCCCAACCCTGCCAACGTCTTTATTTCACCAATGTGACAGACCCTAAAGCACCTGGCTGGGCCACTCCCAGATTTTTGACCCACAGAAATTTGTGCAATAATATATGTGTGTTGTTTTATAAGCTGATAGGTTTGTGGTAATTTGTTATGCAACAATATATAACTAATACACTTTTCTTGACACATCACGTTGTCAGAGGCAT